TCTTAACCTGTATTTTAGGAAAATGCAAACATATTGATATTCCGTAGTATGTTTCCTGAGAGTGTTACTGTTCACTTTAAAGGCCTGTCTTTTATGTTTATAAAAGATGATCTTTGGGAATGCAGAGTCAGTTTTAATTTGGATTAAATTAAACTAAGAATCACAGATTCTGTTTCTCCTTTTGCATTCTGTGCTTTGTTAGTCTTTTTGGTTATTATTTTGAAATGACATAGGATAAAGTTTAGTTTCTCTGTACTCATGATTTAAATTTCTACCATCCATTTGAACATAATTGGAAACTTCATTTCATGATGTCTTTACTCGACCAAAATACCATGTGCAAGGGTAGTTGTGAAACTTTCTTCGGTGAAATGTTCGAAAAGCACTTCAAATACATCTCCTAAAGCTTCAGTAGTTCAATATCTGTTAATATTCAATTATGTGAGAAATCTCTTTCTTAGAGTCACAGGATCGCTATGATACATAGTCGGCTCAACAGTACATAACAACAATAATTTGGGGATGTTTAGAAACCTCATTAATTACATATGACAATCTGTGGCTGAGCTTCAAAGTAGGTGAGGAATCCTCTCACTTTTTTCAATTGTCTTTCATAGCATTTTTTATCCCTTCTTGACTTCTAAATGTTATTATTTTATGCAAACATTCTCTTGTTAACTGCTTCATTCTTTTATTGCCTCTGTGTTCTGTCATTTAATTTCGACTATTAAATATCTTTTTTGGTGAGGAGTTCCTGGACTATTAACTGAAAGGTTGGTGGTTCATACTCACCCAGAAGTGCCATGATTGACAAGCCTGATAATTGGCTTCCGAAAGACCATGTCTTCAAAACTGAGGAAGCAGTTCTACTCCACAAACAGGCAGTCACCAGGATTGAAATCAACTCAACAGCTGTTAAAAACAACAGTAACATCTATATGTGTTATATTTTAGGCTATTATGTGTTATATTTTAGGCTATTACTTTACAAAAGAAAAGATCTCCTGACGGATGGAGTTCAATTGTAAGGAGTTCCTGTGTTTTGGTGATGCTGCTCAAGTTTGCAAGAGATTTTGATGAGAAATGGGGCATATTTCTTTCCCTGGTCTCCTTTTACCAGGCCATCCAGCTGCCAGTTTAAAGAGTATTTCTCTGGTACTCCCAGGAGGTTTTGGGAACTGGCTCTGTAGTTCTCATCATAGTGGCTTTGACTGGGGAAAGTGAAGGCAGGAAAACATTAATGAGCAATTCTTAGTAGTGTAGACCTGTGCCTTTAAGAGTGAGGCAAGATTTTTAAAAATTTTATTTTATTAATTTTAATGAACATTTACAGAGATTTGGATTTCCATTCATTCATTGTTGCACTTTTCCCCTCTATCTGCTCACAGTTTGCTCCTCTCTTTGAAAAGCAAAAGATAAACTTCTTCGTTGGTATACAATCACGGCCCCTATCCCCGCCTGTCACCCCAAATGCCCTCCACTATGCAATCTAAACTCTGGATTCTTGTGATAATCATAAAACCCTATTATATATCGCTTTTAAACTGTTCTCTCCCTCATCTGATTCAATGCAGTATACATAATCTATCCAGTTTTTCTCAGTCTTACCCCAAGCC